CCTCAGGGCTCCAATGTGAAGGGTTCAGGGGTTCAAAGGTTTTACATAGGTGATGGGCCTCAGGGCTCCGGAGCCGTTGTTGTGGCGCCTCAGGGCACCGAAAATGTTGTTGTGGTTCCAGACCAAATGGGGAGTGTTGTGAATCCCTTCTGGAGCGAAACTCAGCAGCGTGAAGCTGTTCGAGAAGCATTCGGGCCTGGGTACGATGTGAGTGCCTTGGGTTTGCAGCCGGGTTCAAATGCGTCGACACCCCAAAAAGTTCATGTGGGACAAAGGGAAAGTGTTGATGTTGAAATGGATCCAATTGAACTGTTCCGATTGCGTTGTTTGAGAGATGCTGAAGAAAAGTTTCGGCAGGGTTTGTTGAATATGTGGATGAGTGCTAAGGAGTCAAGGGTTGAAAAACATGAGAACGAAAAAGGGTCGCATGGTTCCCAAAGTTCATATGTTTCGGCAGTGGATTTCCAGGAACATGTTGCCCCCAAATCTCACGATGTGGTTGAATCCCAATTGGTTCATGATCCAAATGTGAGGGTTGTACCTGAAAAGGCTGTGACGTTCACGAGGGTTGCACCTGAAGTTGTTGTGCCAACTGTGTCAAATGTTGTTGAACCATTTGTGCCTAGGCCACCACCTGGACCTCCACCACCATCGCCGCCAAGAATGTTGAATAGTGTATGTGGGTTAGGGTCGGTAACACCTCAATGCCACCTGCACTGCCGCCTTTTCCTGCGTCTGTGGCAGGAACCTTGCAAAACTCAGGTGGTGAAAATCCATCTGAAAATCTCAGGACGGTGGAGCTTCCGAAGTTGTCAATGGATGCCACTGCTCTACAATTTGGTGATTGGCTCAGCATCATCGATTCTCTCATGGGTGACTTGTCTTACTCGTCGGGGGATTGGTGGACCATGGTCAGGGGAGCTGTTGATCAATGTTACATGGATTGGTTGAATGTTGGACCAATTGAAAGGCTTAGGCTTCGTCCACAAGTGGATCCCAGGGTTCAATTGTGGCCTCGAACGGAGAGAAGGGCCTTAGCTATGCTTTTGGGAGCCATTCCTGGCCCCATCAAAGAAGAAGTGATTTCAGCTCGCAAACTGACCACTGACCAAGTGTTGTACAAGTTGTGCATCACCTTCCAACCGGGAGGTGCCACTGAACGCACAAAGTTGTTGCAGAACCTTACGGACTCCAAATGTGGTTCCAATGTTCATGAAGTTTTGGACTGGATTCGAACCTGGCGACGGTTTGTTCAAAGGGCCAGGGAACTCCATGTCACGTTGCCTGATGGTTTGGTTTTGTTAGGGGCTTTGAACAAATGTACTGATGTTTTGAGTGGAAAATCCCCACAAGTGGCATATCGTCTCAACATGATCCGCCAGCAGTTGAATGTGGATCAGTTGCCGACAGCAGAGACGATCTTGAGCTACTCCGAGCATCTGCAAGCTGAAGCTGAAGAGCTGACTTTGAGCACGCCTGCGAAGGCAACTTCGGCTGTGAGGGCTGCTGCTTTGGGTGTGCCACCGCCTCCAGGGATCCCTCAAAATCTTCAAAGTTCCCAAAACCCCCAAAATGAATCGGATCAAAGGTTTCCGAACTCAAAAAGAAGACCTTGTAGGTATTGGATGAGTGAAAATGGGTGTCAAAGGGGTGATCGATGTTCTTTTGGTCATGCCAATTTGGATCCCCAAAGCAACAGATGTTTCAATTGTTCTGCTGTCGGTCATTCCAAACGTGATTGTCCTTTGAAAAATGCAGGGTCTGACTCAAAACCTGATCCCACCAAAGGAAGGGTTGCCAAAGTGTCAAAACCGAGTGGAAAAGGGAACCCCGAAAAGTATGGGAAGGGTACTGGGGAACATAGTAGCCTGAAAAAACTACTGGGGATGTTGCTGCAGCAGAGAAGTCACTTGGATCTGAAACTGCGTACAGGACTGGGCCGGAAACTGGGGACGGGGGAGAAAGTACTCCTGAAAGGGTCACTGGGCTGTTGAGTGAAGCTGCTACCCTCCTGAAAACCCTTAAACCGGTTGCCAAAGCTGTCAAAATCAAAAGGGTGAATGCTCCTGATGGACCCACAGGTCTTTTGGATGGTGGGGCAACAAACGCCTTGAGAAGGGGAACCCCCAAAGAACTGGCTGAAGCTGACCCTGTTGTTGTGGAGTTAGCACATGGGTCGGTTGAACTGAAACAACATGCTTTGACGGGGACCATTCTCACTGAACATGCGGTTGAACCCATTGTGCCATTAAGGTGATTAATTGACCTTGGTTTTGTCATCAAATGGAGTACCCATGGTTGTGAAATCAAACACCCCTCAAGAGGAACCATTCAGTGTTGGTTGCGAAATGGGTGTCCTGTTGTGTCTGAAAAACATGCGTTGGGGTTGATTCATGACATTGAGTCTTTGGAGTTAGCCAAAAGAATCCCTTCTGAAAGTCCTGAAACCGTGTCTGAGACTGCGCATGAATGGTGGTCACAAAGGTTTCCGAATGTTCCCAAAAGAATTTGGAGATACATGAAGGGTCAAGGGGTTGACACTCCAGGGGTTCACTTGCCTTGGAATCGTGCCCAAAGGCGTCGACATGCCCAAGCTAAGGCGATTGTCATCCACTTGTATGCCGGTGAAGCATCTAAGGATTGGAGTCTTGGTTGGCCTGCTGACGTTGAAATGATCACCTTGGACGTTCGAGATGGTCAGAATGTCCATGATGCTGCAACTTGGGCCTACCTTTGGCGACTTGCTGCATCTGGTCGTGTCGTAGCTGTGTTGGGGGGACCACCATGTCGTACTGTGAGTAGATTGTTGGAAAAAACACCAGGACCACCAAGGCTGCGTTCAAGAAATGGTCCTGAAAGGTTTGGGTTTGAACACCTCAATGAATCCCAACAACAAAAAACGGACAGTGACACTGCGCTGTACCTGAAACAGTTGGGGTTATACATGCACGCTCACGAGTCATGGGATGGTTCAAGATGGCCCCACATGAAACATGTTGCGAATAGGGTTGGATTTATGTTGGAATCCCCTCAAGACCCCAAAACTTACCTCCAAAATGGTGAAGGGGATGAGTCTGCGAGTTTTTGGGCTTGGGATGAAACAAGGGATTTTCTTGAAGCTTTCCAACCAAATGGAATGGAGTTGATCAGTTTTGACCAGGGTGCGTTTGGGCATACTCGGAAAAAACCCACAACATGTATGACCAATCTCCCTGACATGAAAGAACTTGATGGTTGTCGCTCTGGTGAACATGAACGACACTTGGCGGTGAACTTGGATGAAAGGTTGAACCAAACTGCCTCTTGGTCACTTTGGGCACCAGGGTTGAGGGCTGCCATCAAAACGTCTTTGTTGGTTTTGGTTGAATGGTATGGGATTTCACCACCAAAATTGTCCAAAAGTTTGGGGTTGGATCAATGGAAACAACATATCAACCAAGGACATCAACCATACCGACGGGACTGTAGGACATGTATACTTAACATGGCTGGGTCAAAACCACACCGACGTAGGGAACATGCTGGGAGTTCTGCTTGGACCATGTCTGTTGATTTGGTGAACCTTCCCAAAGCACGTGACCTTGCTACCAAAAAAGTTGTGAGATATGGTTTGGTTGCTACAGCCCTTGTTCCAGTGTTTGACTCTCCTCCGGGGGACGAAACGTCAGCTGCCGAAAAGCCACTTGTTGCTGGCGATGTGTCTTCCGATGCTCCGCAACCAATGGAAACTGTGGATGCATGTTGGGGGGAGGGACTTGATGAAAAAGAATACTCCCTTCAGGGGGACGAAAAGACAGAGGAAAACCCTGAAGGTGATGAAGGTGAAAAAGTGAAAGACCATGATGGAGGTGATGGGAACGAAACTGACTATGAACCTTCAATCGTGGGTGAAGATGAGCTGAAAGAATGGGATTCAAAAAGTTTTGAAAAGGTTGTTGGAGAGTTGTCTCAACCTGTGAAAGTTCGTCATGTCACACTCATGGAACCTGTCGAGTCAAGAAATGTGAAACATGTGATGCCTGCGATGGATGCTTTGGTGACTAGGATGAGATACATGGGTGTCTGTGTCACACGCATTCATTCTGACAGGGCCAAAGAACTGTTGGCTCGGAAGTTTAGGTCATGGGTTGCACAAAGAAACATGATGCATACGTTCACAGCTGGTGATGACCCCCAAAGTAACGGCCATTGTGAGGCCGAGGTGAACCAACTCAAAAGGCGTACCAGGCTGTTGCTTCACATGGCAGGTCAGGACAACACACATTGGCCACAGGCCATGCGATTTGCCACTGAGGAACGACTAAGGCAACAGATGGAGCTCCTTG